GGAAAGTTAATTAACAAACGGAGACGTAACACACCTGTTCTTCCCTTAATAAGGCGTCCACTTCATCTTTCAACCTTTCTAATAATATATAACAGAAAGCTTTACCAGGTATTGATAGTAAAGAAATTCCTCTGCAGTTGTTACAATCACTTAGGTCTCCTTTTTTCGGAATAGTGACAATCACACCCTGACCCCATTCTGATGGAATAGTTTCCTGTCTCCAAATCTTGTTTAAAATATTTAATAACTCCAGTTCCAATGCTTGACATCCATTCTTCAGTAATCCAGGTTGCAACTCATCTGACCCTGGTGCTTTGTTGTTTTTCAGATTTTGCAATGCTCTTCTAGCTTTTTCTAGAGATATGTCATTTAGGTTTACGTTCAAAATTGCTCTGACATTTTCATTAGATAAGTCTAACAAAATATCAGGTTCACATTGGTTCAGGACTTCATTAAAATGTTCTTTCCACTTTTCCAGTTGTTCTCTTTCCGTAGTCAGTCTCATGCCATTTTTCGCCTTAATAGGTACACCTCCACTACTTTTAAAACCAGATGTAAGCTCTTTTGTTATCTTATATACAGTTTTACTATCACCTCTATCTGCAGCTTCCTGCACTTCATTCCCTTTATCTTCAATCCATTGATTCTTATCATTCTTACACCTCCTTTTCACTTCTCTATCTAGTTGGTTACATCACTCAGCTGAGTCACCGTAATCCTGGCTAGTTGCTGCTTCTCTCAGTTGCTTGACCCTTTTCCTTTCATCAGTCACCGTCCACGTACCATCACTTATCCACCTTTCTCTATTGGTTCCTCTTCTTCTACCCAGTACTTCTTCGGCCACTTCATGAATGTTCTTTTTAAAATCTTCCCAATGTGTCTCTATGTTCTCTACATTTTCAAGGACTTCGAATTTATTACGCAACTTAAGTTGAAACTCTTCTGCCACCCTAGGATCTTTTAACTTATTCACTGCAAAAGCCTTAGGTTTCTTAGTCTTCTGCTGCACTTTAAATTTCACTTTGAACTTTCCGATTACTAAGTTATGATCTGAACCAACGTCTGCTCCTCTGTATGATCTTACATCCATCAGGGATCTTCGCCAACGCTTACTAATACATATGTAATCGATTTCATTTTTGATTTGGCCATCAGGCGACCTCCAAGTCCATCTATGTGTGCGTTTGTGTTGGAAGAAGGAATTGCCAATGCAAAGTCCATTGACATTGCTGACGGTTCTAAATCGATCACCATTTTCATTTGTTACAGGTGACGATGCAAACGGCCCCACCGTTCGTTCCTTCGATGTTAATTCTTTCTGGGGACACTTTTGCGTTAAAATCGCCCATCACCATCAATATGTCATACCTATGAACCCCATCTACAGTTTCTTGCTCATCTCTCGAATTACTTGCTGGGTTTTTCCAGTCTGGAACATGGTCCTAACGTTCCATTTTCCGATCTTAGTAGTGTTTTTTGCATTGAGGATCGGACATTTCCAAAACAAGACTTCCTTTCGGCTTTGATCCTGCCTCTTCATGTTGCTATCACTTGCCACTTGTGCAACTGACATGCTGTCTTCCCCTCTTTGCTTATGTTTACCGGAATGGCTACTTTTCGTTGTTTGTTTAGCAATATTGGATAACGACGTGGAGTTGCTAGCACCACGGTCGTCCCTACTCCTTTCTCAAACGGGCTTGGGACCGTCTACATAATTGGTAGTATTTCATTAACAAGAATATCTATACAAAGTTTCAATGACATCCATGCAAAAAATAGGCAAGAAAAGTGCTAAGAATATAAACTTTCATATATTTCATTTTCTGTGACTTTGACAATTTTCTTTCGTGAAAGTAGATTGTCCAGCCCAATCCTGGGTGAATGAAAATTGACAAGTCGAGTTACAATTTCATCTGTGTTCACAGATCGACTTTTTAAACAGCTTTTCTTGTTAATGTTTCGGGCTCTAGCCCTTGATGGTTCCTTACTTGAACTAGGCCTAGATCTATAAGTCCAAATTCGTAGAAACAATATTTTATGGTCTGACACCCAGAAGGCGGCCGTTTGTAAGGTGGCTTAGTAGGCATGATGATATTATGTAACAATTGATCTATCGATTTTGTGTAGGCCAGCTACATTTATTCTTTAGAATCTATGTCATCCTACACAGCCACCACATTGTCATGACTGTCGACAGCACTTTTTTGCCATGTGGCCATGTGTGCTAACCTAACGCGTCCAGACATAAACATTTTAATAGGTGTGTTTTTGCCTTGACATCGCTATCAATGTGTAACAGTCAACCAATCATGCGCGTCCTCACAAATAAATTTTATAAAGTACGGTAAATCTAACTTGTCATACTTATTATGAAGTTTACATCTTGAGTCAGATATGGCTGTATATATCGGGTGTTATGCATGCACATGTATTGAATTACGTCATTAAGGAGGGTGATGCGACCTTCGGTTGGGGTTGCACTAGCACCCCACCCCTGCGGAAGGGCCTGCTAACTAACTTATTTTAACAGTTAGGATATCTTTGCTGCAAGTGGAAGTAGGTCTTACGTCTACAGTGAAAAATTAATAAATCTTATATCTTTGCATTTGGGCATCATTCAAAATAATGTAAAATTCGCGCCTTGCGTGTCTTGTATTTATATTAATTATTGTACTGACATTGGTCGGGAAAGTCGAAGTACGAAAACCTTGAGGTAATAAATGACCTTCTTTGATAGATTGTTTAGGCAGAGTATTTATGATGAAATTTAGTTGAATGGATGGCAACTGCCTGTTGTAGAAACACAAGAGTTGAGGACGACGTTTCGAATGTCTTCTGCTTACACTTTGAATTTCGTGGTGGAAGAAATTTATCATTCCTCATTATTCTCAATGTGCCTGTAATGTCATATAGTACAGTATTTACTTGTTAACTTTCTTTAGAGAACATTTAGTTGTTGTTACTTTTATTATTTTTGCTGCGAAGATTTGTTTTTAAATGTAATTTGAAGTACTAGCCCAGTATGTTTACTGCACACATTGGGCATCTTAGCCTAATGCCATAAAAAGTTATGATAAGTAGCATATACCACTACCAGGACACTGTTTTGCGGCCATCTTGATCGCGTTTATTTTGAAGAGTAAACACACAAGCATGTGGCTTTTGACAAGGTATGGTGAAGTTGCCGTTCAAATCACTTTGTTGTGTTAAATTATTCGAAAAAGTTTGTAACTTTAAGTTAACTTTATGATAACAAAGCATTGAATTTGAAGGCAATAATTACCAGTTACACTATACTATAGTATATTATCACCCAGTAATTATACTTGTTATACTACTACTAGTACTAGTATCACTATTAGTCTTACATCAGTTGTGGGAAAAGTTTGGAAAGTCTAATAAAAGATGCTTTGCAAAGTCATTTCATAAAGTTTAGAATTTTATTGGATAGTCAACATGTTTTCACCGAGGATTGCTTACAAATCTTTTGGCATTCTTTGAAATGTTTACTGCTTATGTAGATGACAGTAAGGGTGAAAATTTGGTGTATCTGGATTTTCAAAAAGATTTTGACAAGGTGTCACATAAAAGGCTTGTAAAAAAAACTGTCCTTATAGGTGTGTGGGATAAGTTAGCTAATTGGATAGAAGAGTAGCTGGATGGGAAAAGCAGAAGGTTGTTGTAAATAGAGTTCACTCATACTGGATTAATGTCACAAGTGGGGTTCTTCAGGGTTCAGTCTTAGAACCTTAGCTCTTTTTGATTTACATCAATGACATAGATGAAAGAATGGTCAATAAATTACTTAAATTTGCTTATTATATAAAGGTATTTGGTGTTGCTAGCTGTGAAGAGGATGCTGCTGCTTTACAAAAGGATTTAGTGAGTTGGGTGAATAAATAGCAGATGGGTTTTAATTCTAATAAATGCAAGAGGGTGATCATAACTTGAATTATAAGTATAATTTAGATGGTAATATAATGAGAAGGGGCAACTCGAAGTTATATGGAATAGGTTTGTTCATATACAGCCAGATGTAAAGTATAGAGTTGGTTGTTAACTATAATATAGGCCTTTAAAGCTTCTATTATCACCCATAGAGCTGTAGTTATCTCGCTTATTTTCCTCTTAAAAGACTCAAGAGCACTATTAAACTTTACCTTTGAAAGGAGTTAGGTTTGATAAGTTATATTTGTATGTGGGTCTTTATATTTAACCACCTGATGACTTATGTAATGGCTGTAGTTAGGGGTAGAATTGATTATGAGAATCTGCTTTGTTTTCTCATCAAAATGCTCAATCCTCATTCTCACAACAACCTTGACACACCCTATAATTAAAACTGTGTCCTGGTTTATTAAAGTAAAAAAAATTTCTATCACATCACATATGCTTTTCTTGCAATGTATTATTGTGTACTAATCATTGCTTAATCTTTCTGATACCAAGGACCACTGCTTCCTAAAAATTTATGCATTTTTAAATGAAATTACAACTAAAAATTACTGCAATTTACACATTAATATTATTTCAGTTTTTTTTTTTGTGTGTTTGATTTTGTGTAAATCTTGTATGGTTGTAATGGACTGCTGGTTGAGAAACAACTTATGTAATAATAGATCCAGTACATGACCTGTGGTCATAAATATCTATTTTAAATTGCATTTTACAATTTTTAGATTAAATCTTTATGAAAATATTTTAAACTTTATTTTATAGGGTGATATGTTAAATTAAAAAAAGGTTTACAAGTCTTATGTTACATTGGAAAGAAAGAAAATGATAGATTTTCTTTTCACACAAACATAACTGTGGAATGCTCATTTATAATTTGAAGGTTTTTGTGCCTTGTAAATCACAGAATTCTGTGTTATTTTAAACATAGCATTTTTCTCCTCTTCTATCACATTATCAACAATAACTTTAATGTTTTGTATTTCTTTCTTCATGCATTCTATAACTTCACCAAATAACCAACATTTTTTATTTTTTAATCCATCAATTATCTCCGAGACAAACTATTTTTCCTTCAGCAAGTAAGCTCTGCAAACAAACCCTAATGAGTGACTCTGGGCCTCTTGAAACTGTAACTTTATTAACATTCAAAAATAATAATAATAATAAAGGTAACCTACTCTGCCTTTAGCATACCTAACAAACTTTACATAGCTTATTTCTTCACCATAAACATAATATTCAACCAACCAAACCCCTAGAGCTAAGAAAAAAAGAAAGGGAAAAATACTGAAATCTGAAAGTATATTGTATGAGAAAGTAACTATAATGCTAACTAATAAAGAAAAACAAGTTGGTACTTTAGGTTTAATAATACACTAAAGCTCTCTGTATGCACAAAGTTTGTGACAATTTGTTCCTACCTTATACGACTAGGCTTTTGACAACAGCCTTGACCAGTTCAATAACGAGTAAACTCAGAAACCATTTATTAACATAAAAGAGATGAATTAAACAAAACAGTTCATAAATGCAGAATAAGTGACATTCAAATGCTGAGAAGCTAATCCAGTCAGGCACTGGTAGATTAAATCCTACATATAGCAGCTATAGTAATGAAAAATCACTAACTTTTAAAACTCTGAACTTGGCAGGTAAGTATTTATATACCACAGGTCAGCGTATATCAAATGCTTACAGTTATTAACATAACACTGTCACAAGCCAATGAACAACAAACACCTTGTACAAAGTAAGTGACTGTTGAGTTACATTGTACACTATAGTTTAATCATAGATAAGATGATTGTACATGTAAGTTATTACTAATAGAAGGTATGTGTGTATAAAGTAATAAGTGTGTACTGTTATGATCATGTATGTAATTATTATGTACCACCAGTCAGTTGCATCTGAAGGGAGATAACAATTACACAATTCTTACACTTTGGTTAAATGAAGAGTATCTAAATGTTTAGAAGGTTATAAAGTTTTTCATAAGGATCATGAAAAAATGAGAGTTGAAAATATTGTTTGTCAGTAGTAGCGTGGATAACTAATGAAATGAAGGTTTGATGAGGTCATTGAGGAAAGTAAGGATGTTTTCAAGCATTTTAATTCAGGTCCTGTTAGAAACAGAATTGTTTTTAGGACATACTTCAATTTTGTGGAAACATATTTAAAAAGATTATCTTTGTTGAAAGTGACTGAGTTAATTTTTTTTTTTTTTATTTTGAAGGATTTTTTTTATAATGTTATACAACCTACTTGGTAAGATGCTATTTGCAATATCCTGTATGTATAAAATCCAGGACAAATGTCCACTGGTAATAATTTCAAATGTAAAAAAATTGCATTCTTTCTCCCACTCCATTGGCCTCCACTGCTGTTGATGGTAACTCATTCCTTAAGCTAATCACCTTGTTAAAAAAATTAAACTGTCTTAATTGGTGCTTAGCTATTTTTCCAAATTTTATTCTTGTATGCTCTCATCCATGCCCTATTATCTTTGGAATAAATAAATCGGGGGCCTTTGTCGTGTCATTCCCCAGTGATACTCTTTTAAACTTTAGTAAGATCACCTCTTACCCTTTTTTTCTCAAGAGAAAATAAATTACGAGATCTTAACCTGTCACATAAGATAATTCTTCCATCCCAAAAATCATCATAGTAGCCCTCCTCTGAACCCTTTCCAGTAAATTAACATGCTTTTTTAAATAAGATCAAACTACACACAAACTTCTGTAATAAAACATTTAAATCTGTATGTGCCTCAGATGAAATTTGGCTTCTCTAGGGCAAGTAATTTTAACTTAGTCATTTTAAGTATGTTTTTTCTTTTTCTTTATAATCATCATATAGAAGCAGTGCATGGCTTAACTAGATCTCAAAGGACATGGGCAAAATTGTTTGCTGTCCTTTCCAAATGGGCTGCATGTGCTCTGCCCACACCACAAGTATCAAAACACAATTTTTAGAATTATAAGTTTTTGGCATGTGAGAATAATTGATTAATGAGTAATTAATTGATTAGCAAATTCCACTAATCACCCAGTTCTATGCACCATTTAAAACACCTAAAAAGTAAAAAAATATCTTGTGTGGTTATGGTTTTATTTATCAAACATTCTGTTCATCTGCATAGTTTAATGTAAAGGTTGTGTTGCAGCAAACACTTTTGTTTTGAATTTCTGTTATCCTTAGTGTACAAGTATATCAATATCTAGAAGTAGAAGGTTTTTGTGAAATTCATTATAATGAGAGGTAAGGAGTCTACCTTCTGGACAAGTGATGCTCAAGTTTTTCATGTGTGTTTTTGGTTGCAAATTACATGCTTTAATATTGAAACAAAGAAAAACAAAGTGTTTATACCAAAGAGTTTTGTGTGTTTTTCATTTATGAATATCTACTTACAGAAGTTCTGTAGATCTGTGACATGAAGCTGAAAGAACTAGAAAGTTGCTTGCAGTGTGTGGAAGTCTTCAAAAGTCCAAAAGTGAAGTTGGAACAGTACCCAACAAGTCCACATATTGCATGTAAGTGTTTTAATAAAAAAAAACTTGTTCTTTTGTACACAATCTAAATTATTTCATACCACAGTAAACTTATTTAAGAATATCCTTTTTTTATATATAAATCCTATTTAATAGTTATTGTAAATCATTCATTCCACAAAAATTTCGTTTGCATGATTCTTTTGATTCTAAGGATAATATTATCGTAAAATATTTCAGTTACATAGAAATTAAATTGTGATTTGACCAATTATTTATATAAAGCTATTAAAAACTGAGGAAGTTTATAAAGGGAAGGAAATAATCTTATAGCACCAATACTTTAGTCAACACTCGAAAAATTATATATATGTGTGTGTGTTCATTGTACAGCCAACACATGCTTTTATATTTTTATTTCTGTATATTTTAGCACGGATGTTGCATACAATTGACACACGTTATAAAGATTTGGATGGTTGTATGGTAGCAGATTTAGGATGTGGTTGTGGAGTCCTGGCAGTTGGAGCAAGTTTACTTGGTGCAAGGTAAATCAAAATATTCTATTATTTACATCTGTATTCTTAAGCCTATCTACCCATTGGTGAATGTGTAATGTAGTTTAATTGATATGTAGACATCTCCTTCATCAGTTAGCTATAGCATGTAGTACAAAATGTTATATATTGAAAAACAAAACATTAGGATCATGCATTCAGACTTATTTTAGCCAACCATAAGATAATTCTCACTCTTCATTCTGCATTATAAGTTTTGATAACATTTAATTAACAATAGATAACAGATTAATAAATCAGTTCAACTGTTATAACACAAGTTAACTTGACTTTGTGTTCCTTGTGGGAGTAGTGGCCTGGCATGGCCTGGTGGTTAGGGCACTCAACTCGCAATCTGCGAGTCGCAGGTTCAAATCCCCATCCCACCAAACATACTCCCCCTTTCAGCCATGGGGGCATTATAATGTGACGGTCAATCCCAATATTCATTGGTAAAAGAGTAGCCCAAGAGTTGGCAGCAGGTGGTGATGACTAGCCACCTTCCCTCTAGTCTTACACTGCTATATTAAGGATGGCTAGCTCAGATAGCCCTTGAGTAGCTTTTTAAAACAAGCAAATAATCCTTGTGGGAGGAACAAATTCAGTAGAAATGTTATCATGACTTAATTAATTTGCTGGGAAACATAACTACTGAATGAAAACATTCATGATAATCCAAACAATTTAAATATAATTTGCAGATTAAGACAGTATAAAAATAAAAACAAGATTTTTTTTTAACTTAGAAAGGGATTCTTTTTCTTTTTTTTCAGACAAGAATTATGGAATGGAAAAAGTTTCAAATATGGCCTAAAATGATTTTTTTTTCTAAGTCTGAATTCTTTAAATAGATATTTATGCATTATATGCTTTGTGATAAATATTACATAAATACTTGGGAGAAAGTCTAATAGGTTAAAGTTTGATTACTTACAGATCAAGAAGAGTTAGGTCAAGCTTGGAAATTTGCAAATATAGAATATACTTTACGTTGCATCTTTAATCAAACTGATGGTTACCATGAAATAATGTAGAATATATTTGTTATAGGTTAATTTTATACTAAAATAATTATGTAGAAACTTAATTACAGAATGTATTGTTTTTTATGGTAAGTTTAAAGAAGGTATTTCAGAACCCATTAATCCACTGACTGCTGATTCACCGTATAGGGTATAGTCTGTCTCCAGCAGGTGAATGCGAGTGCATTGTATATAGTATACAGCTCACAAAATTTTGCATGCATTTAAAGTATCCACAGCAGTCAAAGGGTTAATTACCAAACTAAGATAGAGCTTCTTCAGAACCACTTTTATTACAGGTTACTATTTCTAATAAGACCCAAAATTCATTGACAAAACTTGGATACATTGACATCTCTTCTTTGCCCAAAATTGTTAATGCCCTAAATCAGAAACTTTAATATTTGTGGTGCTCATGCACACAAGGAAACATGAAATGAAAAGTTATTTTTACAGAATACTATATTATTATTATTATAGAAAAAATAACTCATAAATATTACATTTCAATAATAAAATATTGTCAAATTACCATATACTTTATGTTCACCACAATTCAAAAAGTTGTATAACAAAAATTTCAATATCTGAATGAAAATTATATAAAATAAAATGATTAAAAGCAATTAATTAAGATAGCTAATAAAAGAAAAAAATGTTCCAAAAATGTAATATTGGTAAGAAATGGGGGTTAACAACATAATTTCCAAAGTAATAAGCTTCTGTAAAGAATAGCAAGATTAGCTTTAAAATTGCACATCTTGGCAAACTTTCCATAGACCCTCTATAGTATGTGAGTGTTGACTTCCGAAACCTAGGTTAAACAGACCAAAGCACAAAGTTTGGAACTTTCAAACTATATTTGAAGCCAGCAGATATGATGTTGATTGCGACTGTTGTGATTTCAGTTTGTTCTGCCATTTTTTTCATAAAATCAACCTTTGATTCCAAAGGTTGGCTGGTAGCTTGTGAGCCTTCAGATTCAAATCCCTTTTTATTGTTTTGCTAATGGTACTAGAATATATGCCTACTTTCATACATTCATCACAATGAATTTTTTTCTTTTTTTTTGACCTGTACAAAACCATCACAGCTTGGCTTGGGGTATGGTTTTGGAACCAATAGTTATGTTAAAACATTGACGTGTGCGATTTTCTATTTCTATATAAAACATTAAAGACTTACTTTTTCAGAATGTTGTGCCCTTTGACTCTACATCAATTAACAGTATTCACTGTATGTATATCTTTCTTTGGAAATAGCTGTGATGTTATCCTACACCCATAAGTCTTATCTGTGGCAGCATTACACTGTTTAATGGTCAGGAATTTACTGTAAACCAAATATATTTAGATGTTGTACATGTTATTTGTGGTGCCATGTCTCACATCTTTAATGATACTACACTGTAATAACATGGACAAATTGTTCAGATAATGCTGATAACCCTTTTTATATATTATATTACAGATGCCAGACCATAAATATTTTTTTTCAAGTTTTAAGATTAAAAATAATGATTCCAATATTTCAGTATGTGCTTTGGTATTGACATTGATAAGGATGCTCTGGACATTAGTTATCAGAATTCCTGTGAATATGAATTGAAGAATCTGGAGTTGATACAGATGGATGTGACAAAGTTACCTGATGCACAATGGAATCAACTGTTTGATACTGTTATCATGAATCCTCCGTTTGGGACAAAACGTAACAGAGGTAAAAATTTTGTGATGTAGAAAAGCTAATAATGTAATAGTGTAAATGATAAAATACTTTACTTTTGTTAACATTGACAGTGATTGATTAGTATACTAAGGAGCTTTTGTTTCAAATTGCAGGCATGGTATCCATTAAAACAGTCCAATTAACCTCATAAAAGATTTAATCATAACAAACTAATTAAGTAAAATACATGTATGTGCAATAAATGTTATTGTTGTTTACTCAAATACACCAAATTCTGTACTATGTATCAAAATACACGAGTTGAATTAATACTTTTTAAATTTAAAGAAAAAGGACTGGATTATCAAAAATAATTCAACTAGTTAAACTAAACTTTCATGTAAATATTAGAACTATAAACATTTATTTTTAAATGTAAAGTGTTTTGATGCCAAGTTTTTCATGTAACATTAAATCTACAATAATGCTTGAATCAAACCACCAGTATGTATCCTATCAGCAAGGTATACTAAGTTCTTTTTCTAGTTCATTAACATTATCAAATAGAATGCTAAATATATATTTTTATTCTGTGAATTTTTTTTACTATAGAAATTATTTTGCACTGTTTGCTTAGTGTATGGATGTAGGACAAACTTAGATCTCCTAACTTGGCCAAGTCTCTGAGATATTGGATTTATAGTTGACAGTATCACTAACAGTGACTGTACCTAATTGATGAAACAATGTATTCTAATTTTTATAAGCAACAACGGTATATTTATGATCTCTATGTAAGTAGCTCGCTTTAATGAAAAGTTAATATAGGTTACTGAGAAACTTGTATTATTTGTCAGGAATTGATATGCTGTTCTTAAAAACTGGGCTTAATATGGCCACGCGAGCTGTGTATAGTCTGCACAAGACTGCCACAAGAGAGGTATGTTTTAAAATACTCTTCATTTTTTTTAAATAGGTCTATATTTTTATATTCATTTAGAGCTTCTTTTGACCCAGATTTTTGATCCCTTTACTAAACATGATTTTTTGTTTTTTGGAATGTTGCAAAATCAATTGAATTTTACACAGAAAGAGTTTGGACACAGTAAGTTACTATCTTGAATTATATTGTATTTGCATTGAATATTTTTTGCAAACATTTTATCAAAATTTATATAATTTCACTTATAAATATAATTTTTACAATTTTAAGATTTATGTTATTTAGTTTGATGTAATTCTAGGTAAGTTGTAGAAACTATGGTGAAAGGTGATCAGTAAGAGTAAAAGTCGTGTAAGTTCTGATTAATTTACAGGTGATCTAATTGTTAACTTTCATGATTAGTCCTCTTAGTCAGACATTAAATTAAAACCTACATATCAAATTTATATACAGCAGCATTTAGGTAAATAGTGGTAAGCTTGAGGACTCGCAACACTAAATCTGGGTTTGATCAATGAAAGAGGCACAGTACAAATAGCCCAGAGGGTAGTTTTGTAATTCTTAACAATAAAAAAATAATTGCATGCAGTAATGGAACTAATGGTGGAAACACACAAGTGACATGCATACACAAGTCACAAACAACGAGTAATGACAATTGGATGGTCAGTTTATTAATGGTGCAAAACGTTATCACAGAAAATCCATAAGAAAAACATAAGTTATACACTGCACCTGGGATTTTGTATGTCTTTGCTGTACACAGAGCATTACAACTTGTTTTCATGCAACCATACAGTTCATCACATGTGATAAATATCCTGTATTATTCCCTTCAATTCAACCAAGTAATTTGGCACCTTTTGGCTCATTCAGCCTCAAGGATTTTCAGACTGAGACTTTCTGCAGGCCAATCCATAACTCTGAGCATTCTTTCACCATTTTACATGCAAGATATCGATATACCATAATGGCCGTAGGCTTGAGATTATTGTCTTGGTGGTTAATGAATTTCTGCTAGATGAGTCATTTCCTAAGAAAATGGCACGATGGGTCACAATCTGCTGTACTTGTCAGCAGTCGGGATACCATCAGTTTTGTGTAGATCACCAACACTGTTGACTGAGTTGCAACCCTAAACTTGTACTGATCTCCTAACATGCTTTGCTGTTATTGATTGTTCTTAAAGAATTAAAACTTTGATCCATCTCTAAAAAGCACATGTCTATAGCTGTGCTTGTTTTCACTGTTTGTGGTCCAATACCCATTTCAGCATTTTGGTTTTTAAGCAGATACACATTCATTGAAATTACTTTGTGCTATTCTATATCTTACTGTTGTTAAAGTTACATTCACATCTGTATTTAAAGTAACATCAGTAGCAAGATCTGTAGTCAACCATCATCCAACTTGTAAAGTATGTACCCTGAGACAACAGTACCAGCTTTCCCTAATAGAAATGAATAAAATCCCTGAAACCCGATTGCTTTTGAAAGGTGGACCTTTCTTCTTCAGGGGCAAACTGTAAATGGTGGTGTAATTGAATGAGTGATGTATATCGGCATTGAAACAGGATTCAAAACTAAAGCAGATAGAGAAATAAAAGAAGCTTATTGGATTGCTAATCTAAACACTGTTCAACCTTTCAGAATTAATCTAGATCCTGGAATCAGTGATCTCCATTCATTGGTTTCATCTCTGTCAGAAAAATAATTTTTATTCTTTGCATATTTTTTTATGTAATGTGAATGCTGAATTTCCTAAAGCTTAATATTTATTTAAGATAATTTTCCATACCTGTTTTTATTAATTGATTAGCACAACATATCTTTTTTAATCAGTTTCCAGGTGTCACCTTTATTTTACTTAAACACTTAAGTATAGTTTTACATATATTTATCCATTTCTAAAGTAAGATATCCCAAACACCTTTTCACATACACTATCACCATCGGCTACATTGTACCAGAAATGAGATGCTTATAACAGTACATAGAGAAATAGAATAAACATTTCCTGGAAAACCGGATGTCCTCCATGACATCACTAAACTCCTTTTATATATATATATATCACTCAATCGACTACACCACCATTCCCAGTTTGCCCATGAAGAAGAAAGGTCCACCTTTCGAAAGCATTCGGGTTATAGGATTTTTATTCATTTCTATGAAGACTTCTTGAACCTACATGTTTTTCTAACATCATGAACTTTCCCTAATAATTAGGGTACTTGGTATATTTCATGTACAGCTTTAGGGTGCTCAGCAGCTCTTGCATCAACATATTTTGGGGATGTTCAAGCACCCATGATACTTAACCTTTGGATAGTTTCAGATTTTCAACTTCAATCGTTTCTGTTATTAGCACTGCCAGCTCACATACCCTCTTCAGACTCTAGCACACAGTTGCTACTAAAACATGGAGTCTCCTGCAATTATTCACAAAGTATTTCAGTCCTGGAAACCATAACTGGATTCAAGCTACTATTATTATGCATAGTATTACTGCCTCTTCTATCAAAACTTGACTATGCTCTGGTGCAATTCATTTTTACACAATAAAAGGGTGTCATTCCTGTAGTATTTCTCTTTTTTTTTATCCTTTTTACTCATTTTTTCATTAATGTTTTTTCCAATTCTGTACATATATTTGTCTTACAACTATTGTTCTGGCAAAGCATGATAATAATTAATTATACTTCTCATAAGATATTATGTTAAGCCTATTATATAACAAGTATAATATTGTTGAAATACTATTAATTTACATTCTTCTTAGTCTTGAAAATCCCTAAGGGACTAAATTAATAATGTAGTGTTGAAAAAATATAACAGGCCTAACATAATGTCTTCAGTTAACTGTGAGTTTTACTGTGTTGATATTTTCAAATGTGGAAGCAGCTAATGACTGACATGGTGTGGAAGTTTTTGTTGCAAACTGCTCTTCTTCTCTTTTTTTTTCTCAAATCAGTAAGTATTAGGCAAAACAAGTAAGATGTAATGCCAGTTAGTTGTAACAATAAATATCTACTTTTCTTTGTGTTTTGTTTAGTTTAGTGAAAGTCTTATGATGCTTCTGTTGTGTTGCATGTAATGTTTCAGTATTTCACTAAATATAAATATGTACATCTAATGTATATTCTCTGTTATATGAACTTTGTGACTTAAAACTGTAAGGTATATTGAATAGGTTTCTTTTGACAAATGTTTGTGAATCTTATTAAGTAGATTTTTAAAACTTGGAGGGCATATTAGTAACATTAGTGTATTTAAGTTAAAGGAATTGTTCCGACCATGACTGTGTTTATTGTGTCCCTGCCAGCCTGATCAGCTCTGTATTGAGTGAAACATGTTGTTGGCAATGGATGTGGTAGACATAGTGTGGTTTAAATACTGTTATACACTCATTTTCTTTGTGAAAAACCCTAAGGGACAGAATAAAAAAATGTAGTGTTAAGAAATATAATAGGCTTAATAATAATGTCTTATGACTTGTCATCTTAGAAAAGGCATCCATAACATAAGAAATGGTTGAACTAAATAGTAATCTGACTACTGCTGTGTTTGTTGTGTCCCAACCAGCCTAATGAACTCTGCAGTGAGTAAATTGTGTCATCAGTAACGAATATGGCAGAGGTAGTGTGGTTGAAATACTATTATATACACTTCTTGAAAAACCCTAAGGGTATAAACGAAGAATGTTATGTTAAAACTATCATAGACCTAAGACTAATGTCTTACGAAAAGTATAATTAAGTACATATTTCTTCAATTGCAGCATATACGAAAGAAAACTAAAGAATGGGGTGTCAACATGGAAGTGATTTCCGAACTTAGGTTTGACCTTCCTTCAAGCTACAAGTTTCACAGACAACAGTCCGTGGATATTGAAGTAGATTTTATTAGGTTTTCTTTTCCATCTTCACATCTTCCGATCAAATGTACAGAAAAAAATTACTTATTATTGAAAAAGTAGTAATTGTGAAATAAAAATCACTTGGATATAGATAGCAATTTTTCATTTGTTAGTACTCTTGAAAATAATTATGACCATGATCAGTTAAACATTACTGTGGGAAAAATTTTTATCCAAAGAGAAGATTGAACTCTTAATGATTCATACTACATATCATTATATTGCTGGTGTTCACTAGATACATTTGTGTCTGATTTTACTTACAACTTTAGAAATTTAAGTGTTTCAGGTTGAAAATACCTCTTACTTTTAAATAGACATTATGAAAATACCAATATTTGTTTTTTGGAAATGCAGAAAATGTAAGTACCATTTGAATTTGTTTGTTATGCTCTCCTTTCTACATTTAGTAAATATATGACAAATCTAGGAACAGGTACTCTTCTTCCTCTGTAATAGCTCTTGAAATTAATCATGACAAGTCAAAAGTAAACATTTTTATGAAAAAAATTGATACTTATCATCTTTGTTGAGAAATTTTTCACATTTTCAATTCCCAGGTTGACATGCAAGACATTTTTTCCTCCCAAAAGTCATCATACATTGATTCTAACTTTAGTCGTAGTATACCAAGGTTTATTGAATTAAGTACACCACTCTGGGATTAAATGATTCACATTGTGGCCTTCTAACATACAAAATCACCTTTCAGTGTGTAAAAATTCCATTCCATTCATAAATACACATGTATATGATTTAGTTGTTGTTGTTATTTTAGTACTCTGTGTGACTGCCGTATTCAGTGACGTTTGTGTGCATAATATTCCTAGTTTAGAATATAATTTTAATAACCATTACGTTTTGTGTGTGTTTAGTTCCTTTATACAATTAAAAAGTAAGCACCTTCCGACATTAACCCACACTACTTTTTTAAACTATATGTTGAGTGGTTTTACGATAATTCGTTTGTCGCTAGGGTATATATATCTTACTTTGTCTCATCATCAAAAAACAAGTTGAAAGGTTTTTCGGTCTAAGATGCAACTTCGGAATCGAGAAGAGTTTCTAAATGCATCATTACGTTGAAATACATCAGTTTTGACCAAACTTAATTTATTTCACTTTTACCGTACTTAATTTAAGTCAAAGTTTAATGTAAGTAATTTGTAGTTGTAAATACTGAGGCGTGTAATGTACATACATTGATTTTTTGCCTCAAAAGCAAGCTTTAGCGAAGTATGCTTTCGACACATTATAGTTTTATAGCGAATTCAAAAGTTCAGAATGTACAAAATTCGATTTTTTTAAATTTGTTTATTCGTGTCTGATATTCGTGATATTTACTTGAATTTTCATTCAGCTGCATTTAAGTGAATACAACTTAAATAGGCTTTGCATTTGGAAAGTTGGAATATGTACGATTGTTCAATAGGCCTACATCATGTGGATGCACTTTTTATATCAACTATACTTGATGCAATAAATGATCTTGCATTAACTGTTGATCCAAGACATTGCATCAGTTCTTGTTTCCAGAACAGAGGGTGAATCTTTACGAGTTCAGTGTTAGAAACTTCTGGATTTTGTGATAATATAGTGTCATTCACTCATTTGTTATAATGAAGAATACTCTCATTATACTGCTTTTACCCTTAATATTGATCAAGAAACCACCTTCAATAAAGAAGTTCAAAGTCAGGTTTCTAGTTTGATGATAAAAAGTTTAATTAAAGACGAGAGGTAGTACACTGAACTCAACGTTTACAAAACTATAAGAGTTTTGATAGTGACACTTGGAGAAGCATCTTCAGAAGCAATAGTGATCATTTCACACTTGGTAGTAATTCTCAGTAATGAACCATCACCTCGATTTGTTACTTAGAACTACTGTACTTGGACCACAGAGGACATGGAGTAATAAAGACCTAGGTGAAAAAAAGATTTGCCTACTTTGTTTCCTATCTAGGGCCCCAAATCCCAATCAAATGGGGCCCTGTTTAGTAAATTTCCTTTGTCATTAACTCTCTCAACATGGGCTTGGTCAATTTAACCAACCACGTGACCTCTTTGTACTCTTTTAAAGTCTTTGCAGTTTTGATACTACTAACTTTTAATATAGTATGTATATCTTCACAAAACTTGGTAGACTTTTAGTAAACTTTATAAGTCTTTCACCTGCAAAAAGGCCCGGCATGGCCAGGTGGTTAGGGCACTCGACTCGCAGTCTGTGGGTCGTGGGTTAGAATCCCCGTCCCACCAAACATGCTCGCTCTTTCAGCCATGGGGGCGTTATTATGTGACAGTCAATCCCACTATTCGTTGGTAAAAGAGTAGGCTGACTTATAGTAGTATTCTTCTTACACTGGCTCCTCATATATCCTTGCTTTCCACAGTTCCAACAACCTTTCTGGGTAAGTCTTTTTTGCCGTGGCATCTTCCCTGTGTTGAAGTTGCCGACATTGTGCTTTCTTGTGCCCTGGTTTGTTAC